GTTAAGCTGATCAGATGAATACTTCAGCTGGTTTAAGAAATAAGATTGGGATTTGACTTACATCAGCATAGGTCATGGAATCAATAGTGGTAGAGGCCAGGATGTTTGGGTGCTGATATTTAAGGGCTGGATCAGTGTAGGGCAGATGGATACCCTTCTCCCTCAGACGCTCCCTGATGGACTTACCCCTTATCAGGGGAACCCTGCACAGACAGACAGAGCCTTGACTAAACACAACATAAAGCTATCACTCTTCACAACATATGTACAACTGAAGACTAGTGCAAAAGTGAAAATGAGTCAAGAGAGTCATCAACCAAATGATAAAGACATAGAACTTACTTGATGATTGCCTCCGAGAGGATGAAGCAAGCCAAAAGGATAATAAGGCCCTTCATAGTGATTCCTGTTCTATGTCTCCCCCGAATGAACGCACAGATCATTCTCACAACACAGGCTTTTTATACACACACCAGCCGCATATCATAATGCATATAAACTTGTCTTGACCTGTGCCAGCACCTTTCTCTCTTATGGAAACACTCACTTAATGCCAGACTTGACTGATAAGACACACAAACAAGATTTGTACCAGTAAAGGGATGGAGCCAAGTCTCAGAGGGTAGGCACTAAAAAGAAATAAATCAAGTGCATCCTAATTAGCTATATGTATTCTTACTTTTTTTTCCCCTAATGTAGTCTCTTTGAAAATGTACCCAAAAATCTAAACATTGTATATAAGTGCTATATAGTATGGTTAGTAAGTCAGATCCATTGCCACAAACAATTGCAATTTTACCATTGATTCAGTAAGGAATAAACCATTTCAGGGTGTGCTGTAATAGGAAATTAATCTGTGAGATGCATCTTGAAACAAAGCAAAGTTCCTGGTACCACTCCAAAGTTTATCATGCTATGCACATTCTGAAGTGTTTCATTTCACTTATATCACAGCAATTTGCCATTGATTACAATTTTTTGCATAAATTTTTGCATGACTGGCATGTCAAACTTTTTAACTATTTATAGTTATATTTAGTGTTGTGGAACATCCATGAGACAGGTTAGTTCATAACAGTGTATATGAGTATAGAGTAAAGAGAAAGGAAAGGGAAAGAATAAACTTTAAAATATCTCATTAAATACACTATATTTCAAAATATGGAGGAAATTTTAACTGAAAATGTTAATATTATTGAAAATTTTATGATATGGACCCAGTGCTTCGTGATACAAGGCTATTTTAAAAACTTATTTTATCTTCCGTATCTCTATGGAAAAGAATTATATGTTAATCTCTCCTATGATTAAACAAGAGCTTTATCACGGTCACTACTTTTGCTGTATCATTTCTTAAATGTCTTGCCAAAAGAACAAATATTCATTATCTTATCTTCAAAATAAGGGAAAATTGTAGCTGTTATCAGAAACACAAAAAAAACCCCAAGGTTACTGTTACGTTTATTTACATTTCTAGTTTTAATAATGTTTAATGTTACTGTAACTGCACAGATGTACAATAATTAAAAAAAAAGGCTGATTGATTGAACCATTGATGGCTCATCCATAGTGGTAGGTGTCCTCTGTATAAATATCAGCCATTCAACAAATGTTCATCTTCATAAACTCCTCATTCACAACTCCTTACATTTTAAATTTAACTGAAATAATAATTACCTCTTTTGCGTTGCCATGCATGCACACTGCTCCGTTTAGCACCATAGACTTATTATTGCACTTAGTGGTTAAAAATAGGCACTGCAGAAAGCGCTTATAGGGGGCCTTTGTGGCAGGAATCATGCTGCTCCATGCTTAGGGGAGAAGCAGTGGACAGGACAGTTAATGACATGTTTGTTCGATTCTGTTAGTCGCTGGAATTAAATGTAACTCATTTCCACAAAAGGCAAAGTGTAAGTGCAGACAGTATGTTTATGATATACAGAACCATATATATATTGCAAGATATATTGTAAAGATTGGGAGATATGGATGTCCATACAACAGAAATACATGTAAAAAAAAAAAAAAAAAAAAAGCTGAGAAAAAAAGTCTTCTTTTCCTAATGCCCAAATTGTTTAGGCAAGTGTCAGGTCTTTTATGTTTTGAAGATGTAGTTGGGCTGATAATTTTGCTAAAACCTGTAAACCCTGCTTAATGATATTACTTTGAACAAAGTTGAACAATGGTAACTCTAAAAGTACACAAAATTAGCTTCTAGACTGTATGTTGGATGACTTTGTTCTCAAATTTCAACTGCCTAGCACAGGGTTACTCTAAAAATTGCTGATGCTAATCTTTAAGCAATGCCATTGGTTACTACAGAAATGACAATGAGGGAAAAGGATGAAGGGCCATGTGACATTGTAATCCTATATTTGTCTTACCAAGTGTTGGGATTTCACTGCCAAATATCAGGATGTTAACATGTTAACAGGCTGAGAAAAGTAAGTGTGCATATTCTGGATCACACAAGCCTGCATCAAAGAGACAGTAAACCCTTCATGCACAGTAACTCCTTTTATTATTAGTTATATTTTTTTAGCGCAGTCAAGCGCATGGGGACTGTAATTAGCTCAAATTTATGTATCCTCCATTTACTGTAAGACTTTAAATCAGAACTCTACAGCATTTAATAAGATACTAACATGGAAATACCTGAAGTTCTTTGGTCCTAGGTCAAGACTAGTTAAAGTTAAAGGCTTGTATATATGGATTGTTTGCTCTGAAATTCTCTGCCTGAGTAGAGAGAGGAAATGTTAACAACTCTATATTTCTCTTGGATGTTTGCCAATCATGTTTTTGACTTTAAAGGTCATTTTCAAGATGATTTTGGATCAGTTTGTAGGGATCAGCCTGCCAAAAATATTTGGACCAGGGTGCAGAACCTGTGATTTTTAGGTCAGATCTCAGCCAGATTTGGCCAAGATGAAACAACAAATAAAAAAGATGTGGAGTTGATAGATGAATAGCCAAATCTATGAATTGCTAAATCAAATGTGTTTCATTAACCCTTCATGTTACAGATGCTTTTACATACAACCAAAATTTGCTTTGTCATTAGCTTCAGTAAAACAATCTGACACCAAAAAACAATAGTGCGTTTGCTTATAACTGGAAATTTTGACAATGGGAAAAAAGCAAAAGGAAAACTTTTGGCTAATCACAGTCTACCACAGAGATCTTGTCCATGCAATTAATACAGGTATTGATGATGCTAAGGTGAGTGTGGCTTCCATTAGAGATGTCTGGTGTTCAGACACCCTTGGCAAAGCCCACCTGGTTGTTATCATGATCAAAATCAGAGTAGTAGACCCAGAGAAGACTTCACCAAAGATCCAGAGAGCCTGGTTGTTCAGAGAGGGCAGATTGGTGGGGTAGATATTCACAGTGCAGTAGCAACAATGGGTCTCCTGTGAACATATAAAAAGATAATTCAGCTTTTGAGCTCCTCACTGTTTATCTCAGTATTTATCAGAACCTGTGGGTGTATCAACAGAGGAACTTACTTGGATGTAGGCAGAGGGACCCAGAGGGAAAGTCACTCCACGATGATGAAGGACACAACAGACAGATAGATAAATGTCTATTTTGCACTTGCAGTATGTCTATAAAACCCCCTGGTGTCAGTGTTTCTAATACCCTAATGCATTATTCTGGTAGTGATATAGAGACAAACTTAAAGTCGATCCACAGATTGGAAGAGTCTGTGTAAAGAGCTCTTAGCAAGACTGGGGAAGTCTACTGATACTGATCATGCCGTAGTAGAATGAGCGAACCACAGGTGTTAAATTGATCAGATGAATACTTTGGCTGGTTTAAGAAATGAGGTAGGGATTTGATTTACATCAGCATAGTTAAGAATAGATCATTGTAGGTCAGGTGGATGCTCTTTTCCTTCCCTCCTTCACTCTCTGATGGACGTACCCTTTATCAGGTGAGCTGAATGGTAAAGACATAGAATTTATGTGATAGTTGCCTCTGACAGGATGAGGCAAGCCAAAATGACAGTTAGGCACTTCATGGTGATGCTTGTGATCCATTTAGCTGAATGTACACACAGATCATTCACACAGTGTGACCCCATACGCATGAGCCACAAATCTTTATGCTTATACACCCCTTTTCCTGTGCCAGTGCTTTTATCTCTGATGGCAGTAGGCCTGTGAAAACACAAATGCCAGGCTTTACTCATGATAACACTGATAAGACAAACAACATATATGCCAGGAAAGGGATAAAATAAACCCATACAAAGAAAGCACTACAAAGCAATAAATGCATAATTAGATGATTGTGTACCAAAGTAATACCAAGAATCTAACCATTATACAGTGGCCTCAGAAACACTTAAACCACACTTACAAATGTACATATTTCACTGCTTTAGACAACATATAAAACCAAGTGGCATTTATTTTAAAGAAAGGTGCTACAAGCACACTTTTCAAGCAAAACATATAAACAAATAGGTTGTTATACTGTTCAAAATTAGACAAAGTTTTTGGACACATAAGATTATTCTGATTGTCACAGTTAATCCATACATGATGTGATGAACCACACTGTGTGGTTACTCTGCTAGGGGGACCTGTATGAAATTGAAGGAAATTGACTATATACATCCACCCTAAATGACCTTGGGAACAGCTGGTTAAAAGTAATCGAAAAAATGGCTAAGAAGAGGGAAATAATTTTTGAGAAAGGTCTCATCAACACTTCTATTGATTAGCAATTCTAAGCTGGGAAAACAATCAAAGGCTCCCTCAAATCATGCTTTGTCTGTTTTTTCCTCAGAATGGAGAGAAAAAAGAGTCCATTAACCTATCAGAACTAGGACAGCCTTGTTGACCCTCAAGTCCTTCCTACCACTTTTTGAGACACTTTCATCCCAGAGATTAAGGAACATTCTGGGTCAGCACAGTAGTGCAGCAGTCTTGCTGATGAAGTGCGTATGCCCAGCAGAGTGGTGATTGCACCCTGGGGTGGTAGTGTAGCCCTAGGCAGTTGTGGTTCAGTGGTTAAAGCTTTAGCTTGCTAATTAGATGGTCAGGGGTTCGATCCCCAACACCACCCATCTGCTACTATTAGGCCCTTGAGCAAGGCCCTTAATCTGCTCCAGTGGTGCTGTATTCTGGATGACTTTCTGCTCTGACTCCAAATTTCTAACAAGCTGGGATATGCCAGGAAAAGAATGTGACCAGTAAAGGCTTTTATTTTATTTATTCTGTTGTATGTAATCCCACATCAGTCACTGACTCTGCCCACTTGTGTTGGAGTCTTTTGGAAACCCAGACAGGATGCCTGCCTGGAAAGTGTAAAGAACTTTGAATCTTGTATTATTACTGTATAGACAGAATTTTTTGGCTGATGATCACCTTAGCATGGGGCTGAGAGAAATGCATGCCTTGGCGATAAATTCACTCACATGCACTGATGACCAGATGGTTCTGGGGTGACCATGTGACCAAACTCAGGCCTCCTACCTAAAGTTTTGTGTCACAAACCTAAGAACCTGATAATTGATGTTGATTGACCTCAAGGGTCAATCTGCAGAATATTCTCTATCATGTTCAGTACGCACCTTACAGTGCTATATGAGCGGCACCACATCTAATTGGTCATAAACCCAGCTATTCACCTGGCATGATGTCTTAACCTTATGTTATAACCTGTAAAATGAGCTCTTTCAAAGGACACCAACCCCACGCCTCTGTGAACTACAGTACCTGAGAGAGAGACGACTTTGGAGCTCTATTTTTGGCTAAAAATGATACTTCAGGCGCTTCCACGGATCTTCTCATATTTCAGTCGATCATCGATCAAGTCCTCAGGTCATTTTGTTTATTCAATTGATAAATTTAGTATTTTTTTTTTTAACTCTATGGCTTCAGATCAGACATTGTAGAACAGAGCCGAGGTGGTAAGAAGTGCTCTTGTACCGTCTTATGGGGAGGTTGTATTACTTTTATTTCTGGTTTTGTTCTAATTGTCAAAATGTTGTCCTCACTGCACCACTGTACTGTTGCTGTATGATTTTACATCTGCCGAAATATTAGACTAAATAGCTAAAATTTTAGACTTTTAGTGCAAACTGGCTAGCATTTGTAAAATTCATTTATTGTAATTAGCCATGATTAGATACCATATGTACATTTTTATAGCATTGAAATTACTGGGTTGAAACAACAGAGGCAGTAAACTGCATTTTAATGCAGCATTTTATATGGAAACAAGGGATAAAAGATAAGCAGTTCAAGAAACTTTTAGTTACATCATGCATGAAGAAACTCCACTTTTAAGTTGTTGACTTTTTTTTCAGCCAAACAAAATCAGCCAGCAGTCAGGAGGAGACTGTTGGCAGTTGAGGAGTGATATGAGCAGGGTATGAGACAAAGATGAGGCTTAGCTTTGAGAAATTGTTTTTTTATTTCAGGAATGCTTAGATAAAATATAAATACAACCATGAACGAAATAGGTTATTCATGACATATAAAAAATAGCTTTCCTTAAAACATATTTTATATGTCTTCTCATTTTCTTGTTGTTCATTTTAGACAGGCCAAGCAGTGAGATTGATGGCAGTCAGACAAGGCATCAGCTTTCCACAGGTAGTCTACATTTAAAACTAGGTTATTGGTAAATCTGTTTATGTAGTCTGTTGACAGAAGAGCAAGAATTTTAGCTAATATGTAGGTAGTTGTACCATTTTAGATTTATTAAAGGAAATAAATTTATTAATGTCCTTGTATATGACCATGATAAGCATAGGCAACAAGCTTTTAAAGGCTTAAATGGTTACAATCTTGCCCATTTATGGAAGTGCTCAAAAATGCTATACTCAAGAATGGCCAAAGTTTTGTATTCCGACAACATAGCTTTTACAAAACAAAAGTATGTTTACTTGTTTTGTAATCAAGTATTATTGATTTGTTGTTTAGTAGGTAGTGCATATTTAAGACCAGGTTATTGGTAAATGTGTTTATATCGTAATTTATAGACTGTTGCACTGTTTTGACATTAACACAGGAAATTATTTTATTCATGCACTCATTAATGTAAGTATACAAAACTACTAGCAGTGTTTCCCACACAAGGTTACACTGTCAAAGTATATTGACAGCCACCAAGGTATATTTTGTCCCATTGAAAATAAAGTATTAAATGATTCTGTCAAACCCCAGGGCACTGTTTTCAATTGGCTGTTAAAAGAACACTCTTTGAAAGAAGGTGGGAGGGTTGTAGTGAAAGTGGTGACTGAGCAGGCCTTTCCTGTCAGGGTAGCTGACTATAGTACCATCGGTCTGACAAAAAACAGCATAGGGAGGGGAGAAACCCAATGAATTCACTTGATCAGGTCACACTGTTGTTCTTAGATATCATCTAATCCTGAACTCCACATTACACATGGGTTTGCCATTATTAAACCATGAAGACACCAATATGGAAATATTTTAGGGCATTTTAGACAGCTTTGAAAAAAAGATGGGCTGAGACCCTCAAACCTTAAACTTCTAGAAGTGCCCCTGTTTTCAGATATTTTAATTTATTCACATAACCCCCATTGTGTTCTATTCCCAAAGAGAGAAATTCCATGTTTTCATGTTCATACAAATACTCTTCTCTGGAATACTACATATACATTGGCTTTCCTAACAATAGAAGTGAAGTGCATCTATTTATTAAGACGTGTGTAATGTCATGCGAGTCAACACATGTAACAATAATTATAGTGATATGTGCTGCTCATTACATGTTCAAAAACTATAGTTCTTAAATGCCAGGTTAGACTAGCATCAATTCCAATAGTTAATGCACTGTAATTGGAAAATTACAGTCAAAATTCTAGCTAATGGTAACAAACTGTTGTCAGATAAAATGGTGTAGTTGCTTTAAACAAAACGTTCATACGCTTTAAACATAAGTAATAAAAGTTACTTTTCACTTGAGTACATCTTTTGGCTAGATGCTTCCACTTTTGTTTGAGTAAGATTTTGACACATTATCTATACTTTGACTTAAGTATAATTTCTCAGTATTTTTGTCCACCCATGGGTACTAGATGACAGTCCCCATTCCTTTTTAAATAATGCAACACATTTCACTATTGCCTGCAATAGTGTTCATAAATGACCAAGTATTCTTGGACCCTGATGATTGCTTCTTGCAACTGTATTTCCTTTCATTTCATTTTTTGGTATATTTTTTAGAGAGGTCAATCTGCTAACATGAAATGGATACTGTTGTCAGCTCTAAGTATTCTGGATTGCTGCAAAACTTTATAAAGTAAGAATACTATAGCATTTAATAACATGCTTACATGTTGAATTATGGGTACATTTGGTGTTCTTTGGACTTAGATCATGTTCTTCAGAAAATTTGCAGAAGCAGTTAGAGGCTTTAAGATTAAGTTAAAAACTTTCAGAGAAATTGTCAGCATCTGAAATTCTCTTTCTGATCAACATATTAATCAGATTTGCACCAGGATGCATAACCTTTAAGGTTTAGATCAGATCTCAGCTAGATTTCACTGGGTTTTAACAATAAACAAAACAAAACAAAACAAAACAAAAAACAGCACATTTTTCAGCTGAATTCATGTTGGGTAGTGAAGTGATGAATACTTGCTTGTATCCAATCTACTTGGTGTTTGAGCAACGCTTCATGTTACACAAATGCATAGAATCAGAGAATGACTATAGAAGATATTCCTGTATGGTGAAACACAAAAGAGTTCCCCCTATCCTCAGGAGACTGCAAGTTCGACTCTCAATGTTGCAGCCATCCATGGCTCAGAGATTTAAGAGCAAATTTGGCCATGCTCTCTGGGTGGGATGGATGTGATTACTCTCTCTTCCCTGTCAGTCAGAGCAACACCAGCCAATCGTGGGCGTCTGTGTGCTCATGTACCTGTAAGGTGGCAGTTAGCTCTTTCCTCTGAGTGTGTTACACTGTCCTGTGATGCAGCATGAGCAGTATTTTGAAAAGATGTGTGCTTCATTTGTCTTGGAGGAATCACATGTTCACCCTCACCCTCTCTGGCTGGTAGCAATCATGTGAAAGAAAGAACTAGAGACAGATTTTGCATGATTCTTACTTTAATTGAAAGATTAGGAGTTTGAAATCAGTGCAATATAATTTAATATGATAAATACAGGTATTAATTATGCTAAGGAGACTGTGGATTCCGTTAGTGATGTGTTGGTAGTGGTGTTCAGACAGCCTGGGCAAAGCCCACCTGGTTGTTTTCGCGATCGTACACAGAATAGTAAACCCTGAGGAAGACATCACCAAAGATCCAGAGAGGCTGGTTGTTCTGAGCGGGCAGGTAGGTGGGGTAGATATCAACGATGCAGTAGCCACTCTGGGTCTTCTGTGAACATATGCACAACATAATTAGCCTATGGACTTCCTTACTGTTCCTTAGAATAACTCAATATATCATATAAACTTTTATAAACTCACTTGGATATAGGCAGAAGGAGCCAGAGGGAAAGTCACTCCACTGATGGTGAAGGTCAGAGTGGGGAGATTGCCAACCTGGCTACAGTCTACAACATACTGTAAAACAGAGTGAGACAGATGTTCAGGTAGAGATAGAAGATTTGTTGGAGGTGTGAAGATATACAGTCTGTGAAGATATTCAGTTCACCTGGCTTTCATAAGCCAGCAATGATACTGACATTTCGGTACAACTGACTATAAAGAGGAAAAGTCCTTTTGTATGTTTTCTTGACTAACGTCCCTCTAACACACTCACTGACTTTTGGTCCTTGTCCTTTTTCAGAATTGCATTGTTATATTTTTTTCTGTGTTTTATTGTGGAAATGGACTGATTCTTGCTCCACAGAATGATCTGTGTTTGGGATTTTTTTAAACTAACAAATTCATGCTATGTTTTGATTGCTCCTTGGTTGTCATGATGCTGTTTATTTAGGTATGTTCTCTAACAAACTCTTCCAGCAACAGATGTATTTATATTGAGATGAGGTGACACTTTAATTGCGCACAAATGGACTCTATTCAAATAATTGCATGATTTTTGATGGCAGAACCAGTTTACTGTATAGCAACAG